GAGCTTGCAACAAAAATGTAGGCATGGATGGTGAGGGAACGGGAGAAAATGGGAGGCAATGGCCGTACCTGCTACAGCCAGCTAGTGTGAAATAAACCAAATCAAAGTGACTACATATTATCGTCTTGTCTTCTGCTTTTCTCCTAATATAATGCCAGGAGTATTAAAGAAATATTATTGAAGAAAATGATGTTTCATGGCTGCCTAGTAGTTTACTTTATGGATGTACCACAATTTCTTAACTGATTCTCTGTTTATAATTTTCAGTCTCTAAATAATCTGATAATAAATACCTTTGTTCAGACTTCTATGTACCTCTAGTTATTTTTTAAGGATAAATCAATCAAGGACAATTTTGCTAATTATCTAGTGATTACTAATCTCACACCTAAAAGAATGCTTGAAATTGATGGTAAACTTAATATTTTTTGTCCAGATTTGGGGGGGGATCTCAAGACATGGAAGTGACATAGCAACTAAGTTATATTTTGTTATGAATCTTCTGCTGTTGTCTATATTCAGTTCTTGAATAAAGGAAGATTTTTACACACTGGAAACCCTTATTATTAGTTTATTTGTCCAGCCAGGGTGGCAAATTTATCACCATGTCATTTAGTGAGCTGATTTCTTTTGAGAAGCAAGAAGTGAACACTTTCTCTATAAGAAAGTCATTAACAAGCTTGATCTCTTTCCTGGAAATGTCATCTGTCATCTCATGTAGGTTTAAGGTAAGCTGGTTAGAGTACTTTCAATTTTGCATCTTCCTGGTCTGAGGAAAAACAGACTGAATTTTGTTTTTCTCCATTCTGCAACAGCCTTGGCATGCTTTCTCTCCTCATGAAGTATCTCAGGGAAGCCTTTGATAACCACCATTAATTGTGTCCAGTGGATTTTTCTTGGTGTTTACTCTTTTCCTTCTTTGAAGTACTCAGGACTGCTGAGTGGTAACACGCATGACGTTTTCTTGCCTTCTGTAAAGCCTGCATTTTCTGGGACATCTGACTTCTTCTCCACTTGGCTCTTCTTGGTTTCCCTCTGTGACTCCTTTCCTTTGTTTCTCACCAGGCATCCCCCACAAGTCAGCCTTCTGCTCCCGCCTGTCTCTCTTGGTGAATTCTCTTTTTCCAGACATTATTTTTCACTCTGTAAAGATGACTCTTAAAGTTCCATTTTCAGGATTCCCCTCTTTCTTCTTACATGAATTTAACATAAATCTTCCAAATTTGTGCCTTCTACTTCAAAATGGTTTATCTTATTTTTCTCTTTTTATTATCTTTAACTCCTTCTTGTAATTCAACCACTTGGGAATTCGAGGTCTTCTATAATTTGGCCCCAAACCACCTATTCCACTTTATCCCTTCTGTCCATCATAAATTTTTGCTCTACTCACCGTCTCCAAATAGCTTAAACATTGCTCTCTTCTTGCTTTTATATAAATTAGTAACTTTACAAAATCCAAAAGTTTGGATTTAATTTTCTGTGTGATGTCAATCAAATTTCTCTCACTTCAACCTTCTAAGTCAGTATAATGGTAACCTCCTTCACAGAGTCTGTGCAATGATTACATAATACATGTGGACGTGTCTAGCATGCTATTTGGCACAGTATGCCCTTGCAATAAGTATTTGCATATGTTTGCTCACCCATCACTCTGACCTTCACCAGTAACCTTTGCTGTGAAAACTTTTATTCTCATAGCCCCCTAAACTCTCAACTCTGACCTCCTCTATCTTTCATTCTTGTATATGTGTCAAGTGTTAGTTTGCATTCCTTCAGTACGCTTTCTACAAATACACTAAGTACCTTAACATGAGAAACCCTACTTCACATTTCTGTGCATAAAGGAAGTACTAAAAATATTGAATCCAGAACTATCCTCCTCTCAATTATCAAGCAAGTTTCATACCAAATTAGCATATGGTAGAGGAGAAAACAGTTAAATACTATTTGTTCATTTTAATCATAAGTCAAAAGGAAGGTCAGGTACAAATGTTTCATTTCCATAGCAAAGTGATCTATTGCTGAATGTCAATTCTTTCTGATATGAGTAGGAGTCAAAAATACATACATGTGTTGTAAAGGAGATACACACATTGGCATATTTATTAAAAACAGCACATGAGTATTTTGTAAGTTATTTAGAATTTTCCCAGTTGACATTCTCTTAGATCTTAACATTTGTCTGTTAACTGGGTAAGTAGCTTCCTTTGCTTTATCATTTACAAACTAATTGTTTTTGTTCAAATGACTTGATATTTGCATTTATTGTCTTTCTTGTGTTTGCAATAAACTAAATCGTTGGATGCTCTTATTTTATTTCTAAAATTAAATTCAAGTCATTGGCACTGGCTTGTTAAGTTTTAGGAGAAAATAACTTTTTAATGATTTACAGCACCAGCATCTTGCTAACTCTACTTCTTCTGAAACAAATGCCTTTAAGGTAATGTGTATACATTCTAGATTATGATGGAGTTCTTCCCCAACAGGATAATGGCACATTTTAAAGTACCCAAATGTAAAATTGAAATTACAACCCTAGTAACACTGAGCCTCTTTGGAATGGCATGTTTATCTCCTAGATGAACTTTAATGGGACAAAAGTACAAGACATTCTGTGGGAAGAGATAGGGCTAATCCTGAGTCCTTAATAGTTGACAGTAAATGTTGTACAGACGTGGTAAGCAGAGTGGCAAACGGTTTCTTGCTTTTTTTCTAGCACAGTGGATTTTCATTTGCTTCTAGCACACCCAGGATATAATACAGAGGTTGTACAGTGGCGGGTGGGCAGGGTATGTGGCAGGGAGAGGGCTGAGTAGCACCAGCCGGGGGCTTCACACACACACACCCCTCCCCCGCCACGCGCAACCACGCCAACTTTCTCAGTGACTCACATTTATATATGGAGCCTCTGAGCATGACAATGTTTGAAGGAAAAGATCTGCTACTAAAAAAATAATGGCTAAGTATCTTTGTTTTAGAATCTAAGTAAAAATCTTTCAAATAAGGGGGCTGGTGTATTTATAGATGGCAATAAACATTTTAATCTAATTTATCCAGTAGCCTTTCACTGGGCCAATCATTTGAGTTTGTGGTCTTAGGAAGAAACTGAAGAAGCCCAATGCTGGAAACTGCTCCAAGAGTCTTCTCAAATTGTACCCCTTAGTCAGGGATTACACGAAATTAAATATCAGCCTAGTCTCCACCCCACCCCAACTCAGACACTGGCTTCTTGTTCAGACTTTTCCAGCTTTCAGGAAAGACTGGGAGTCCTGTGCTTTAATAGCCTAAATGTTTAGGGACCTGTTGCCTTTCAAATCTTAAGGGATTGCTCTTGGAGTTCCCTGCTCCTCCCCCATCTCTTGGTGGGAAATCACTGTAGAAGCAATTATGCTTCCATGAACAATGTTACTAAGCATCCCAGCCCTGCTGCTTGGCCATTGGCAATTCTTACCTCCTATCCTAGACCCAGCATGTTAATCCAGCAGCATGCATTGGCTTGCCGCGCTCTTCCAGAAGCCTCGGGGGTTCATCTAGAACTTGCAGGAGTCAAACACCTCCATGCCCACTTCAACTGGCACCACACAGCTCTTATTACCAAATTCCCAGGGGTTGCATGCTTACTATTTCCAAGCTCTTTACTCTCTTATTAGTTAGCTAGGAGTGTATCTACTTGAGCAGGAGTGTGACAAGTTTTGTCAGTTCTGCTCTTAAAAACGAGTCAGAATACTGGTATTAGTGCTACTTCCCCATGATTCATCACCTATGAACCGAGGCACCATTGTTTTAGACTGCGAAAAGTTCACAGTAAGTATGTGTTCCATAACACACAAATCCCCTGAGATATTTAACGAAAAAAAGAGTTCCTGTGGTCAAATGTATTTGGAAAACATTGTGCCTCTTTTGGTGATTAACAATGTGCAATTAGGAAGGCAAAGTGAGAAGGAGTATTTCTTGAATTTATTTGATCATATTTTTAAGTCCTTTCTCCTAACCTCCCTTTCTTTTGCCCTCCCTCCCTCTCTCTTTTTCCTCCTTCCTCCATTCCTTTCTTTTTAGTAACACTAGTTATCTAGGGCTCCATGGGAAATATTTTTGGAAAACTGTACATACCTGTTTTAGAAAACATTATGTTGAAAGTCGTTTTTAAAAATCACCCCAGTTGTTTGGTGCCAAGCATTTGGGGGGTTTTTCAGAAGTAAACTATTTAAAAATTGAATTCAGTTAATCCATTTTGGGTATATGGATTAGAAGTATAAGATGTCAGAGTGGGGACAAGCCCTGTTAGCATCTCATTGTCATTTTATAAACAGGGCACAGACATAGATAAGGTATAATCTTTCATACTGAATTTATAAAGAGGCTAAAAGAGCTATTTTAAGCACTTTAAGTACAGCAATAGAGATGCAAGCTCTGGGCTCAAGCCATGTGGGCTCAAACCCTGACTCTGCCACTCACTGAGGGAATGTGGGCAAATGTATCTGAGCCTCAGTTTCCTCATTTGTAAATGTGATGGTAACTGTACTCTCCTCAAAGGGTCATTGTGATAACTTAATGAGATTAAACAGCTGAACAGCTGTTTGGCACATGGAAATAATATTATATATTAACATTATTAAACACATTATCGGTCAGAATTGTATAGTTCATATAAAGTTAGAGGTGACACACAATTCTACAGAGAATTTGGAGGATCATAAGATTGGAGAAACAATGGGAAGGAAGGAATTATATAACTGAGGTCTCTGTATTGATAGTCCCCAATACTGGGGTATATGTAACTTTTGGGGGGGAAGAGGGTCAATTCTGTCTTGAAGGTATGACTCACAAATCCTCTTAGTGTGAGGTGGTGGCTGGCAATTCCAGGCTGGGCATTTTGTGGGCTAAGGCAGAACCCTGTTTACCCAAAAGTCCATGGGGGACTGCATTTTTCCGAGAGAAACCACAGAAGGAAGAAAGTCTCCTCTCTGTAAGGCTAACAAGCACGAGCCGCCATTGCCTACCTGAACGGGTAGGCGAATGCGATGTCAATACTGAGGTTACTTTCTGTCTTGTTGACGCAGTCCACACTCAGCCGCAGGCCTCCGGAATAGCCACCGCATGTTGCAAATGCAAAGATTGCAAAAAGCTGTGGAGAACAAGCAAACAAGAGAAAGCAGCCATTAGGATGATGTTGATCTAATGAGACATAGCAAACGGAGCTTAGTGTCCAGGCTGAGAGAGGTCGCGGTCTTCTGAGGAGAAGCATCATGTTTGGTTCAAGCTGGAGGATGAAAGGTGGAATGATGGTGTGGACTGGGGAGGTGGTGTCTAAAAGAATAGTCTGGCAAGCTGGACAAACACTGCTTGGAGAGTAATACAAGGACAAAATAGCTGTGCTTGAGTGTGCAAAGACTTGTCATGCTGCAGAGGGTAGAAACATAATCCCACAGTCAAAGACCTGAAAAGCAATGTACCAACAGGTTAACGATGGATATCTCCAGGTAGGAAGACTTTGGAGTGTCTCCTTGCTTTCTTCTTTTTGTTTGGCTTGTATTTTCTGCAATAAACACGGTCTGTCTTTTGGAATAATGTAGACGGATTGTTAAAAAGACATGGTCAGAGAATTCTAAAGCTAAAAGTTTGAGGAAGGGTAGGTTAGCATCGAAGAGGTGCTATTTCAGAGCACAAGGGCTCAGTGTATTTCAGCCTCAAACCCCCACTGGTGGTTATATCTCTGTGTTGGTTGCTATATCTAAGTCATCTATTAAAAGTTACAACTTGTTACCAGTTAATTTGTAGTCTAGTGTGATGTAGACCATAAATCTGTGAGGAACAAGGCACAGAAAATTAGGAGCAAAAACTCAGAAAAGTCTTCTTGAAAGAAGAAACACCTAAGAAGGTGGGGTGGCCCAAGACAGGAAGTAAGCAAATGCCAAACTTTGTTCGTTTCATAGTTTGAATTTCCAAAGAAAGTCAATCAATGGCACTTAATCCTAACATATGTTGCAATATTGCAATTTATCTTATTTTAATTTTGGAATTCAGCTCCAGCTTCTTGAATTAGCTTGGGATCCCTGTCAGGAACACGAGCTCACTTTGCATAGTGAGAGGAGTTATTGTGTAGGGGTCAAGTGCATGGGCACTGGAACATGATCTTGGGAAAGTTGCTTAATTTGCCCATGCCTTGACTTCCTTGTCAAAATTTGCATTGGTAATAACTTCTGGGTGGCTTTTCCATTTGATGGAATGGAAAAGCCAATTGCTGTGGGCGAGAAGGCTGCTGGAGCTGGCGGGATCCCCACACCCCACACCTTTCCAAAAAGTGAAATGAGTATTATCCATAACACTTGCCACCTCCATCGGTGGTGGAAAAACAGCCTCACAATGATTTGTCTCAATTGGCCATTTAAATTTTATAGGAAAAGACTGGCTCAGGGTAACAAGTCATTTTAAAACCTTCACAGGCAAAGCGATGTTTTGTGGGCCATTTTTGTGTGTGCGGTGGTTTTGAATTGTTTTCTAAAATCGGTATATTTAACATGGAAACAACTTAACCAGGAGATACAGTAGTTGTATTAAGAGCAAAATGGGTTAATATGTGTGAACACTAATGTGTGTAAAGCATTTACATAGAACAGATCCTGGCACTCCCTGAAAGCTAACAAATATTATTACTGCAAATAATGGATGCTCTTTGGTAAGATGCTCCAGGCCATAAAATAAGGAATTTAGACTTAACCCCTAACTAAATCTACATGACTGTCATCCCCAGTGAAGCAACATCCAAGTAGTCCAGAAGAGCTGATCTTTTTTGCTTTGTTTACTTTTCTTGCCTAGGACTGGACGAGGCATTCAGAAGCGATTCTATCCCACTCCACAATCCGAGGGTGATGCGCAGAACCTCGGACCTGAAGGGAACCTGATCTTTATCCCTGTGGTGTGGATTTTCCTACTTCTCACGTCAGCTCTTTGTGTTAGTAGGAATAAAGAGCAATTTTAAGTGTTCAATGCTTAAATCTAGGTTTCATCATATGACACTGGATGTGCCAGCCCCTTGTGCCATGTCAAGATAGCATCTTTGGTAAGACTTCTTCCAGAAGACAGTGTAGAGAGACAGAGTCCAAAGCCCCATGCTACAGCCATGGAGATAACCCTTTGTGTCTCCAAGTTTCCTCATCTGTAAAAAGGGATATCTCCTGTATCTCTCTGAACTGCTGAGAGAACGAAAGGAGAAGGAGTATGTATTTATGTCCTGCCTTCTTCCAATCCATGCGGAGATTTGTGTGATGTTTATACATATGCATTTCTCTGGGCAAGCGTGTATTCAGTAGGCGCACATGTAAGGTAAGAAGGGAGTGTCCACTGTGGCCACTTTAAAGTGCCTCTTAGGGACCAGGTCTTGTGCCCGGCACTTAACATATGTGGTCATATTTCCTAGTGACAACAGTGTCGAGTGTGTGTAGGGGTGTGTGCATGTATGTATATGTGTGTGAATGAAGTTTAATATTCCTACATTAAAGATATGGTAGAGTAGCATGGCTGCTTCAAAAAGTTGCATCCAGACAATTCCTTGGGACATTAACATGCCACAAATTAGAGTTGAGGGACATAAAAACAAATCAAGTCAATTTCAGTAGTTAGTAGTTATAAAGAAACTACCTTGGCTTTTCATCTTAAAGTGCTTTACAAACAGTAAGGTATTATTAACACTGTCATGTAATAAAACTAAGATGGAATGGTAATTATGTATTTAACTAGTTCAAAATGTTAGATATATGGAAAGGGCGGCTCAAGACTATTGAAACCACACACACCATTATTTTTTCTTTTAGTTTCCATTGAGCTTTGAAAACACAAGACATTGTACTTGAGTTAAGTATCATACCAATGGGCTTTCTGATTAAGTCTCTCCCCTCCCCATAGTCCTCATTGATTAAAAGGAAATCATACTGTGTGACCAATGTCAAATTCGCATGGGTTTGGTGAGGATTAAACAGATAATGTCTGAATAGCACCGGAAGAGTCAGATCCTGCTGAGTGAGTAACTTATTACAGGGATGGTTGATTCCATGTTTGGGAGAGTAAAATCAACTCCTCCAGAGTTTATCAGCCAGGGGCTTGGGCCTGTAATTAGAATACATCAAGGCACAGTGGGGAGAAGGGACTGGAGGCTCTTTGAAGGGATTGAGATCTCTTGGTGCTGCAGAGAGATATACAGTGGGAGGGAACTTCAGAAATCCTCCCAGGACTCCACCCAACCACCCCATCTTAGGTGGGGGAGCGGAGCAGCTCTGGGGTGAGGCAGACCTGAGTGTGAGCCCAATTTCTAGCTGTGTGACACTGGGTAAAATTACTTCACTTCTCCAAACCTCAGTTCCCACATCTACTAAATCAAGACTAACTCACTGATTTCATTCGGTAGGTGTCTCATGGTGGACTCACCATATGCTAGCTGTTGGGGAGCAGAAAGGCAAAAGAGTCAGAGAGAAGACAAAGATAAGGAAGGTCCCTGCCCAGCATGGGGCTCCGTTCTAGATGGGAGAAACACAACCCCAAAGAACATGCAAATAAAGTCATCACAAGTTGTGTTCGATGGTTTGAGGGGAAGCTATTCTGGTGCAGAAAGTTATGCCTGAGGGTGTTTAAGCTAACACCTGCAAGAGGAATGGGAAGAAGCCATGCAAAAAGGGGGCACTCAAGTGCTGTGGGCAGAGGGGACAGCTTATGTGACAGTCCTCGGGGAGGAAAAGCTTGACAAGTTTAATAAGCCAGTGGAATGAAGCCAATGTGGCAATTGGATGTCAAAAGAGGTTGAGAATAATATTTACCTCAAATGGTTGTTATTCATGTTAACTGAGAGAGCACATGTGAGGCATCAGGCTCACTGCCCTCAATAAATGTCAGCGCATCTTCTCCTTTTTTGTCATGTTTTTCCCCCTTCTTACTACTTCTACTACTACTGCTACTATTACTACAACTACTACTATTATTATTACTACTACTGTGCTGAAGAAACTGAGAATAGACAGGAAAATTAACTCTCCTCAACTCAGCTAGAAGCAGAGTTAGAACTAGGATCCTGGTCTCTGGGTTCCCTGGGTTAGCGTTCTTCTAATTATCTCTAGAATTGCGGAAAGAACAATTTTTGGCCATGTGAATTGGAGGTGACTCTCAAATGGTGCAGTCTTCTTTGCCCAGACATGCACCATGGCTGCTTTAGTGATTTGAAGTTCTCCATGTTTCTCCTGAGTGTGTCATACGTACCTGCAAGCTCATTGCCAAATGGATGCTTTGTTGTCATTTTCTTTGTATTCCTTCCTTCCTTCTCGCCTTCCCTCTTTCCTCCCTTCTTTTCCTCCTTCCCTCTTTCCTTCCTCTTTTTATCCTTGATGGGGTGGAGGAATTCAGAAGGAAGACCTTGGAAGACATTGTAAAGAGAAAGAACCATCTCTGGCTTGATAACACCCTCCGAGAAGCCTTTACTATTAGAAACAGAAAGGTCTGTGTGTCTTACAGTTGCTCAGCTCTGCAAGACTAAAGCCTATTCCTAATGTGGGCAATATCCTCATCTGGGAGAAAGGGGAAGATAAAATAACTTTCTGTTGTGCAGCCAGGATGGGATGAGAACTGGAGGTGAGACCTAGGAGAGCAAGGAAGGAGAAAAGCCTGGGGGGCCAGTATGAGTGTGTGTGTCGGGGTGGGGATGTAGAAGGAAGGTGCAAGAGAGGAGTTCGAGAGCAAGATCTCCAGCTGCAGCGGCCTCTGTAATGAGCATAGCAGCTTGCTGAGAGATGCTAAGACATGGCGTGTGTGTGCACATTCGTCCTCAGCCAGCACACTGCCTGCTTTCTGGTAATGCAGTGCACTAGCTCACCTTTCTAGACATTGCAAGCATAACTAGGGGCAAAAGCCCGTTACCCACTTAAGCGGAATTATAAAATATCTTTCCTCAAACTCCCGATTCACCTCCAACGAAGCAGAAACCTCACCCTCCAGCACATTCTAAGATAATCAATATCATAACCACTGGTCTAATCATTCACTTCCCTTGAGTTCAGGAGACCAAAATAAATCTGCAATGAACTCTCATTTTACTACTGTCTTGGATGATCTATAGCTCTGTTTCTAACAAAAAAAAAATACTTT